GCATGGTGCAGTACATGGCTCGAATGGCGATGTGCATGGTGCAGTACATGGCTCGAATGGCGATGTGCATGGTGCAGTACATGGCTCGAATGGCGATGTGCATGGTGCAGTACATGGCTCGAATGGCGATGTGCATGGTGCAGTACATGGCTCGAATGGCGATGTGCATGGTGCAGTACATGGCTCGAATGGCGATGTGCATGGTGCAGTACATGGCTCGAATGGCGATGTGCATGGTGCAGTACATGGCTCGAATGGCGATGTGCATGGTGCAGTACATGGCTCGAATGGCGATGTGCATGGTGCAGTACATGGCTCGAATGGCGATGTGCATGGTGCAGTACATGGCTCGAATGGCGATGTGCATGGTGCAGTACATGGCTCGAATGGCGATGTGCATGGTGCAGTACATGGCTCGAATGGCGATGTGCATGGTGCAGTACATGGCTCGAATGGCGATGTGCATGGTGCAGTACATGGCTCGAATGGCGATGTGCATGGTGCAGTACATGGCTCGAATGGCGATGTGCATGGTGCAGTACATGGCTCGAATGGCGATGTGCATGGTGCAGTACATGGCTCGAATGGCGATGTGCATGGTGCAGTACATGGCTCGAATGGCGATGTGCATGGTGCAGTACATGGCTCGAATGGCGATGTGCATGGTGCAGTACATGGCTCGAATGGCGATGTGCATGGTGCAGTACATGGCTCGAATGGCGATGTGCATGGTGCAGTACATGGCTCGAATGGCGATGTGCATGGTGCAGTACATGGCTCGAATGGCGATGTGCATGGTGCAGTACATGGCTCGAATGGCGATGTGCATGGTGCAGTACATGGCTCGAATGGCGATGTGCATGGTGCAGTACATGGCTCGAATGGCGATGTGCATGGTGCAGTACATGGCTCGAATGGCGATGTGCATGGTGCAGTACATGGCTCGAATGGCGATGTGCATGGTGCAGTACATGGCTCGAATGGCGATGTGCATGGTGCAGTACATGGCTCGAATGGCGATGTGCATGGTGCAGTACATGGCTCGAATGGCGATGTGCATGGTGCAGTACATGGCTCGAATGGCGATGTGCATGGTGCAGTACATGGCTCGAATGGCGATGTGCATGGTGCAGTACATGGCTCGAATGGCGATGTGCATGGTGCAGTACATGGCTCGAATGGCGATGTGCATGGTGCAGTACATGGCTCGAATGGCGATGTGCATGGTGCAGTACATGGCTCGAATGGCGATGTGCATGGTGCAGTACATGGCTCGAATGGCGATGTGCATGGTGCAGTACATGGCTCGAATGGCGATGTGCATGGTGCAGTACATGGCTCGAATGGCGATGTGCATGGTGCAGTACATGGCTCGAATGGCGATGTGCATGGTGCAGTACATGGCTCGAATGGCGATGTGCATGGTGCAGTACATGGCTCGAATGGCGATGTGCATGGTGCAGTACATGGCTCGAATGGCGATGTGCATGGTGCAGTACATGGCTCGAATGGCGATGTGCATGGTGCAGTACATGGCTCGAATGGCGATGTGCATGGTGCAGTACATGGCTCGAATGGCGATGTGCATGGTGCAGTACATGGCTCGAATGGCGATGTGCATGGTGCAGTACATGGCTCGAATGGCGATGTGCATGGTGCAGTACATGGCTCGAATGGCGATGTGCATGGTGCAGTACATGGCTCGAATGGCGATGTGCATGGTGCAGTACATGGCTCGAATGGCGATGTGCATGGTGCAGTACATGGCTCGAATGGCGATGTGCATGGTGCAGTACATGGCTCGAATGGCGATGTGCATGGTGCAGTACATGGCTCGAATGGCGATGTGCATGGTGCAGTACATGGCTCGAATGGCGATGTGCATGGTGCAGTACATGGCTCGAATGGCGATGTGCATGGTGCAGTACATGGCTCGAATGGCGATGTGCATGGTGCAGTACATGGCTCGAATGGCGATGTGCATGGTGCAGTACATGGCTCGAATGGCGATGTGCATGGTGCAGTACATGGCTCGAATGGCGATGTGCATGGTGCAGTACATGGCTCGAATGGCGATGTGCATGGTGCAGTACATGGCTCGAATGGCGATGTGCATGGTGCAGTACATGGCTCGAATGGCGATGTGCATGGTGCAGTACATGGCTCGAATGGCGATGTGCATGGTGCAGTACATGGCTCGAATGGCGATGTGCATGGTGCAGTACATGGCTCGAATGGCGATGTGCATGGTGCAGTACATGGCTCGAATGGCGATGTGCATGGTGCAGTACATGGCTCGAATGGCGATGTGCATGGTGCAGTACATGGCTCGAATGGCGATGTGCATGGTGCAGTACATGGCTCGAATGGCGATGTGCATGGTGCAGTACATGGCTCGAATGGCGATGTGCATGGTGCAGTACATGGCTCGAATGGCGATGTGCATGGTGCAGTACATGGCTCGAATGGCGATGTGCATGGTGCAGTACATGGCTCGAATGGCGATGTGCATGGTGCAGTACATGGCTCGAATGGCGATGTGCATGGTGCAGTACATGGCTCGAATGGCGATGTGCATGGTGCAGTACATGGCTCGAATGGCGATGTGCATGGTGCAGTACATGGCTCGAATGGCGATGTGCATGGTGCAGTACATGGCTCGAATGGCGATGTGCATGGTGCAGTACATGGCTCGAATGGCGATGTGCATGGTGCAGTACATGGCTCGAATGGCGATGTGCATGGTGCAGTACATGGCTCGAATGGCGATGTGCATGGTGCAGTACATGGCTCGAATGGCGATGTGCATGGTGCAGTACATGGCTCGAATGGCGATGTGCATGGTGCAGTACATGGCTCGAATGGCGATGTGCATGGTGCAGTACATGGCTCGAATGGCGATGTGCATGGTGCAGTACATGGCTCGAATGGCGATGTGCATGGTGCAGTACATGGCTCGAATGGCGATGTGCATGGTGCAGTACATGGCTCGAATGGCGATGTGCATGGTGCAGTACATGGCTCGAATGGCGATGTGCATGGTGCAGTACATGGCTCGAATGGCGATGTGCATGGTGCAGTACATGGCTCGAATGGCGATGTGCATGGTGCAGTACATGGCTCGAATGGCGATGTGCATGGTGCAGTACATGGCTCGAATGGCGATGTGCATGGTGCAGTACATGGCTCGAATGGCGATGTGCATGGTGCAGTACATGGCTCGAATGGCGATGTGCATGGTGCAGTACATGGCTCGAATGGCGATGTGCATGGTGCAGTACATGGCTCGAATGGCGATGTGCATGGTGCAGTACATGGCTCGAATGGCGATGTGCATGGTGCAGTACATGGCTCGAATGGCGATGTGCATGGTGCAGTACATGGCTCGAATGGCGATGTGCATGGTGCAGTACATGGCTCGAATGGCGATGTGCATGGTGCAGTACATGGCTCGAATGGCGATGTGCATGGTGCAGTACATGGCTCGAATGGCGATGTGCATGGTGCAGTACATGGCTCGAATGGCGATGTGCATGGTGCAGTACATGGCTCGAATGGCGATGTGCATGGTGCAGTACATGGCTCGAATGGCGATGTGCATGGTGCAGTACATGGCTCGAATGGCGATGTGCATGGTGCAGTACATGGCTCGAATGGCGATGTGCATGGTGCAGTACATGGCTCGAATGGCGATGTGCATGGTGCAGTACATGGCTCGAATGGCGATGTGCATGGTGCAGTACATGGCTCGAATGGCGATGTGCATGGTGCAGTACATGGCTCGAATGGCGATGTGCATGGTGCAGTACATGGCTCGAATGGCGATGTGCATGGTGCAGTACATGGCTCGAATGGCGATGTGCATGGTGCAGTACATGGCTCGAATGGCGATGTGCATGGTGCAGTACATGGCTCGAATGGCGATGTGCATGGTGCAGTACATGGCTCGAATGGCGATGTGCATGGTGCAGTACATGGCTCGAATGGCGATGTGCATGGTGCAGTACATGGCTCGAATGGCGATGTGCATGGTGCAGTACATGGCTCGAATGGCGATGTGCATGGTGCAGTACATGGCTCGAATGGCGATGTGCATGGTGCAGTACATGGCTCGAATGGCGATGTGCATGGTGCAGTACATGGCTCGAATGGCGATGTGCATGGTGCAGTACATGGCTCGAATGGCGATGTGCATGGTGCAGTACATGGCTCGAATGGCGATGTGCATGGTGCAGTACATGGCTCGAATGGCGATGTGCATGGTGCAGTACATGGCTCGAATGGCGATGTGCATGGTGCGGTACATGGCTCGAATGGCGATGTGCATGGTGCGGTACATGGCTCGAATGGCCACCGTTTTTTATTGAGTCAACTCAAAAGTCAGCAGGCCAGGTGCATGGTACATGCCCAGAGTGGCCAATGTAATAGCCGAAACCCACACTTCTTAACCACAAGCCCAGCAACTGAAGGACTCCCCTTACAGCCAACCTCTCTTGCATGCCGCGCTACGATTTGAGACGTGTGTCAAAAGTGAACCAGGCTTATAGTAACTGCAGGAACCGCATAACTGTTAATATTACCTGCTGAGCCAGCAGCACACAAATGGTCGTGGCTTGTGTCTTGTCTTCCTCACAAGCACACTATGAACCATGCCCAACCAAGCAGCCCACAGCGTCAGGGCACACATTCAGCACATCCCTCACTTGCTGGAAGATGGGCGCGGCCAGTGTCTCCCTCAGAGAGCCACACCAGTCACTGACTTCCACCACCACACCAAGCATCCCGCCCGCCGCTTAAGGACCCACACTCATCACGCGCACGCATCCCTCATCTGCTGCAGGATGGGCGCGGCCTGCCCTCCCTCCGAGCCACAACGTAAGCATGCGATGTGCATGCATGGCATGGCACCGACTTTGGTTCAATGCCACACGACACGACAAGCCAAGCTCCCCACATTTGAGGGGGCCACCCACCCCACACTCAGCACACCCCCCCCTCACCTGCTGCAGGATGGGCGTAGCCTGTGTCTCCCTCAGCGCCACAGCGTCGGCATATGATGTGCATGGCACCGGCTTGAGCTCCGCATACTGCACGTGGGGAGGGGAGGGGAGGGGAGGGGAGGGGAGGGGAGGGGAGGGGAGGCATGGAGGCATACGTTCAACCAGGTTGATCATGCTGAGCTGAGACGGAGGCGTGTAGCGGGTTCCAGTGCAAGACAGGTAATGACGAGACCAGGGCGCCAAGCACGGTGAGCATGGAACCACTTTCACCCCCATGCAATGCACCACGTGCATGTGGGAAAAAATGGACAAGGATACTTGTAGTCTTGTGTTGTCGGCATAGGAGATACATATACAATGAACCATTGCGAGCCGGAAGCCATGGGTGAGAATGAGGGGCGAACGAATTGAAGTCGTGTTTTTGAGTCGACTCAAAAAACGGAAGCAATGGGTGAGGTGAATATGAGGGCAGACGACAACTTGGAGCCAGGCCGCCCACCAGCATGAACATCACATCACAACCGTTGTACATTAGATCATCAGTAGGGAGTTCATTGAACTCGCACCTTGAGGGCGAATCCGATGAGCGCAGTGGGGAAGCCGTAGGTGAGCATGAGGGCGGAGGACTCGGAGCCCGGCAGGAACTGGAAGTACGCGCCAAAGCCGTACGACAGCAGCAGCAAGCCCACCGTCAGGCCGATGGTGCCGAACGACGTCTGCAGAGGAGAGGGGTGGGGATGGGGCATGGGGGTGATTTTGAGGCGTTAGAGGGAGGAGGTAGAAGTAGGCGCCGAAGCCTGGATGAGTAGCAAAGCCCACTGTCAGGCCGACGGTGCGGAAAGACGTCTGGGGAGAAGGGAGAAGGGACAACGGAAAATGGAAGAGAAAGGAGAGAAGGAAGAGAGGGGAGAGCGAAGAGAGAAGGGGGATTTGGGAGCGGGGTGAGAGAAAACAGGGAAGGGAGCATTACCCCTCCACGATTTACACGGCCTCATCGTACCTTACTAGCTTTCAGTCGCGCACTTTACTTCTTCCATCGCGAATCATTACTAGCCTTCAAACGTTCAATTTGATTCGTCTTCAATCGAGTACATTGAGCCGCATTCAATCGCGTACCCTAAATTCGGCCATGACGATGATAAGCTTCGGCAGCGCTTACGACGTGTACATTTGGTGATCCTCCTCTCGCTTATACCGCGTACATTGGTTCGTGTCGCTTACAGCGTGTACAGTTGGTGATCCTCCTCTCGCTGCGCGTACCTTGGTAATGCTAAGTTCCGAGTCAGGCACCAAGGCGCTGTTCTTGCTCACGAGCGACGCATCGAACGATGCCGACTGTGGTTCAGCCGTCTCCGCTGCCGCTTGACCGTCAGACGCGGCTCGCACCGTCAAAGTTGACGGCCGGCAGCGGCTGACGGCCGTCTGCCGGTTAATCCGCATAGCCGGACGTGCCACTAGGCTCAGACGCGATTGAAGATTTTGTTGCGAAAAGACATTCGCGACGGCGAATGCTGGCAAAGCGAGCGACGAGGAGACGACAGTTTGGGCCGCCATTGTGACTGACAAATTCGCACAAAAGAAGCTCAGAGTTTCTAAGCAAAAGCCTCACCGCCAAGCCCGGAATCTCTAAGCTTTCCTTTCACTGAATATCTAATGGCACGCACAAGCTTCAGCGACAGAAACTAATGCTCGGACGTGAAGACTGGAAGAAGTTGCTGCATGTGAAATGGATGGAATTGCATTTCAGGGGGTGTGCGCCAAAATGCAGCTGGGCCGCAGCGTCTTAGCGCGCTTCCCAGTGGGGACCAGCGCGGGCCATTTACGGAATCTTGCGGACTCGATTTGCAGTGCCATCCCATAGACCCGAGGACTATTTCACCGAATCGGTTCAATAATATCGGATTAGCGAAACTTGCACGATGTGAGGTTTATAATTTCGCCCCTCATCGTTCTTGTGTGGCATGTTACGCCAGTAGCTCGCCGACAATTCGCTCAAAGAGTAACTAAGTTCTGAGTCACGCAGGAAAACTGCAAATGCTCCCCAGTACCACGCGTGCCGAGCTTGGCGAGGCCCAGAGAGATGATGATGAAGGGCCTTGGGCGTGCCGCGTGTTGTTCTCCTCAGGATTGAGCAAGGTGAATCTGACGGTGGAAAGCATTGAACTCCACTGCAACCGAGAACAGCGTGGCAGTCTCATGCTCTGCCATGTGGCGTCCACTTCGTGTAGAGAGGGTATCCATCAGCTGTTCAAGGGTCTCGTAATAGAGTGTTTCTTTATAAGCGCATGCGCCAATTAAATTCGTGATTTAAGTCCAGCAGAGATGATAGCGATTCACATATCAAATCTCGCGCTAGTTGCCAAGGAAAGATTCCTTGCCAAATCTTGGAGGCAGGCTGTGTCACTTAACAGCAGAGCACTGTTGGTTAACCCTTGACCCTGCTGTACTGTACCTTCTTTCATGCAGACTTTAGAGCGTCGGGACTTTCTACGGGTGGCAGAGTAAACAACAAGGCCAAGCTCGTTGCAAAAAAGTCCATGAATGATTATATGTAACATATATATTTGCTTATCTCAGAGAGTCTTTACAACAGTAGCTAGATTACGTGGGAGGCTACGGGGTTGTACGGAGTGATCAAAGGGTTGCTAACACTCGTGCAAGTTTTGTGTGTTCACGGGGAGAATCGGCAAAGAAACGAGATGTGACAAGATTACAAATGAGTCAAGCAAGTCGATATAGCTAGGAAAGCAATGCAACACCTAGCAAGCATTCTGCAAGGTGGACTATCAGCGTAGTAGAATGGCGGCTTGCCAATGCTGCAGCAATGCGACTTGCAGATTTGTGCGGAGATAACTATAGCAACGGGAGCTAGACCACGGGATAGGCACGATTGCAGGGGGTGATCGTAGCGTTCCTTAGCGTGCTTGCTTGTGTTCTCTCTACGCACTCATTGACGGGGGACATTGGCAAGAGTTTCACTAGCAAAAGTTCACAACAATGGTAGCAAGCGAAAAAAGTTGGCAAGAAAGACTACATCAGATGCTAGCAAGCATGCAGGTCGACTGTCAGCGTAGCACGTTCGACCGCGTTCCAGCACTACAAGGTCGACCTCGCTCCAGCTGTGCAAAGTCGCAGTATGCAACGCTGCAAGTCGACAGCGTGCCAACGCTGCAGCAAGGCGGTCGAAAAGCTTTGCATTCGCAGGACAACAATGCAACTGCTTCGCAGGTGCTCGCAGCTGGTTGGTGTGCTGTGTCTGTCGCCCCAGTAACTGTGTCGACCGGGCAACCAGGGTGACGCCACCAGGTCGGCGTCCAGGCACTTAGGTAGGCGCCCAGGCGCCCAGGTCGGCGTCCAAACGCCCATGTCGGCGTCCGTACGGCCAGGTCGGCATTCAGACGGCCAGGTCGGCGTCCAGACGGCCAGGTGGGCGTCCAGACGCCATCTGATCATCTGCCCACGACTGCACCTGATCCTCCACGTCGACCTCGGGATACTACACCGCGGTCGGCTTCGCAAGAATCTCCTGGGCGACTCTCGCGCACCCCGTAGTGCGTGTCGCCCCAGTAAATGTGTCGACCGGGCAACCAGGGTGACGCCACCAGGTCGGCGTCCAGGTGCCCAGGTGGGCGCCCAGGCGGCCAGGTCGGCGTCCAGACGCCCAGGTCGGCGTCCAGACGGATAGGTCGGTGTTTAGATGCCCAGGTCAGCATCCAGACGGCCAGGTAGAAGTCCAGACGCCCAAGTCGGCGTCCAGACGCCCAAGTAGGCGTCCCTCCCAGGCAGGTGCCCCTCCAGGTCGGCGCCCCTCCCAGATAGGCGCCCCTCCAGGTCGGCGCCCCTCCCACGTCGGCGCCCCTCCAAGGTCGGCGCCCCTCCCAGGCCGGCGCCCTCCCAGGTAGGTGCCCCTCCCAGCAGTAGTTCCGCTGCACCTCCCGCACACCCGACCACTAGGTCAGCTCCGCCCAAGCGATGACGGGGCCAACACACAACTTCCGTTGACACTCCCCTGCCGCGTTCATGCTTGGGCCTCCAGCCCACACGGCAGCACTACCCAGTGATTAGCACTACACACAGCACGCCGGTCACCGCACCAGCCATGCAAGAGGGCATGACACCTAATGCTGCATGTCGTCGTCACCGTCGCCGACGTCGGCCTGGCGCACTTGGCCGATTGCGATGGAACACCGGCTGAAGGCCGGAAAGTGCAGCGCTTTCGTCAGGAAGTCGGCCGCCTGCTCGGTGGTCGGGATGTACTTCAGCGTTGATTTCCTGCGCTTACCATGTGCTGCAGCCAGGCGTATCGCCGCTCCAAAATCTGGAGGTTGCCCTGCAGCCATAGGCCCTCGACGACCATGATGGCCGACTTGTCCACACGAAGGACAGTCGGCGTCCCGGCGTCCAGCAGCCGGAACTCTGCAAGGAGGAAGCAAAGTCGGCGTACCCTGACTCGGTCGACGACAGCGTCGCTCATTTGGTCCGTTGGCTCGATCAGGCAAAGACGAACATGTAGCCGCTCGTGCTCATCCGGTTCTGCTTGTCACGGGCGTCGTCGGCGTCCACGTAGCCGACCAGCTTCAGCGACTTTAGTCTACCGCCGAACTCCAGTGCGGTGTCACGGGTGTCAGCGAGGTAGGCAAGGCAGCGAGCCGACCTTCTCGGCGTAGGCATCGACGGAGACTGGCGTCTTCGGGACTCGACCACCCTGCTCCTCGTCGATGAAGCGCCTGCGCAGCTTGTCGGTGTACGACTGCTGGTGGAGCCACAGCTTCCTTGCTGGCCCGCGCGCACGATCTCCAGCCTGAGGTACTTCACGACTCGCTGGATCTCGCGAAGCTCGAAGGCGGCCTCTAGCAGCTCCTTCAGCATCGTGGTGCTACTACTGGCGGCGAGCAGGTCGTCGACGTAGACCAGCACCCAGCAGATCACTCTGTCGTCGCCGACCATGAAGTAAAGAGCCTCGTCGACTTGGCTCTTCTTCCAGCTGGTGCCCATCAGCACGACGTCGCACGCCCTGTACCACAGTAGCGGCAACTGCTTCAGCCCGTACAGGCTCTTCACAAGCTTAAACACTCGGCCGGTCCCGTCGTTGTAGTAGTCCGGCTGGTAGATGCACAGCACCCTGTCAAGCTTGCTCTGTACGAAGGCGTTCTTCATGTCAAGCTGCATCAGGTTGAGATCGAGTACGGCGACGATGCTGAGGAAGATCCTCAGCGTGACGTAGCTGCTCACCGGCGTGTACGTCTCGTCGTAGTCGGCGCCGTACACCTGCGTGAAGCCCTTCACGACCAGCCTCGCCTTCTCCCGAGCGACCGTGTCGTCAACGTGGTACTTCGTCATCAGCACCTACTGGTTCTTCATGATGTTCACCCCGCGTGGCGTTCGACTAGCTCCCAGGTGCCCATGCCGATGAGGTTGCGGATCTTCTCGTCCATGGCGGCCTTCACCGCCTTGCCCTTCCAGCTCGCCCACGCCTCCTTCACCGTCATCATTGCGATATCCCAGCGGTGTTTTGGGTCGGCGTGCATATCGGGGTCAAGCTCCGACAGGTCGATGTCCTCCTCGGCATCGTCGTACAGCAGGTCATCATTGGCGACTTCGTTCAGCGTGGTGAAGGCGGCCGGGGCAGGCACACTTGGTAGGTCAAGAACCCAGGCGGCATTAGAATGTCAACATATATTTTATATGTGTTGTTTAGGTTAGTCTAGGTGTTACATTTCTATTTCCTTGCATGATTAGGGTTTGCTATATCTTCCTTGTTTTGTCATTCCTTAAACAATTCCTTATAGTTTCGTAACTTGACATGGTATAGAGCGATAAAAGATCCAATGGGCCCACCACCTCGTAACTTGTCCTAGCCCGAAGCGCCCTGGTCCGAAGCGCTAGCCCAAAGCGCCCTAGCCCGTAGCGTCCCGTCAACTCGTGACTCGTAGTGCTCCGTACCCCGCGCGCCACCCGTTTTCCGGTCGCCTCACCTGTCAGACTCGTCACTGTGTTACCGCCCCCCCCCCCCCCCCCCCCCCAACCCCCTCCCCCCGACGCGCCCTGCCCGTTTTCCCCCGACGCGCCCTGCCCGTTTTCCCCCGTCGCGCCGCCCGCACATCCGCTCGCACCCGCCAGCTCGCCCACGCGCAGCCGTAGACGCACGCGCAACTGCGCGCACGTTAGATGCATGCACACGCGCGGGCAGCCCGTCGCCGTACCCGCTGCCTCACACGCCGCCCGTAGCCTTACCCGTCGCCTCACCCGCTGTTTCACCCGTCTCGCGCTGCCAAAACCGCCGCCTCACCCGTCCCCCGTCGCCTTACCCGTCGCCCGTCGTCTTGCCCGCCGCCTCACACGCCATTTCATCCGTTGCGCATTGCCAAAACTGCCGCCTCACCCGTCCCTGTCCCTTACCCGCCGTCCCACCTGGTACCCACCCGCTCCCCACCCGCTAA